AACATGTCCACAGGCATGTTTCCCACATGAACACAAGCAGGGCCATCTTTTCCAGAATAGTGGAATGAATTAAATTCGTGAATCATGGTACCACTGTATTCAGTTTAATTTCTTTTTAATAGTGCCAATTTCCTTGCAACCACATCTTTTTTGGTTCAAACTTCACATGAAATGTTTTTCTGGCCAAAATTCAGGTTTCTTAAATCTTTCTGCTCAACTTTTTGCTTCTGTTTTTGACTATGAACCTGGAAAAAAAGCAGCCATTAATACATATGTCATAATTTGAACATTAGGCTGCCGTAAAATTTACTCTTCCAGATAAGATTAGCATTTCACCCTCAAACCCTATATAAAATATTAGGGTGTGGAAAAATATAGACAACTTTTTTCAGAGTGTAACACATACAGTGTTATGGTTTGTATCTGGATGTTGCCCCAAAGCCACATATGCACATAGGTGGGGCTTTCCAGAGATGGTTGGATCATGGAAGCATGCTTCTATGTGTGAATAAGTCTACTGATGAATTTTTAGCTGGATATGATGTTGGGAGATTAAGCCTGGTAGAAACAGGTGGATCAGATGGGTGTGGCCTGAAAAAGTATATATCCCTCCTCCCTCCTTGATCCCTCTCTGCTTCCTGCTGCTATACTATGAAATGTTTCCTCTCTGCCATAGCCATCTGGTATGCTGCTCTGCCTTGAAACCAGAAGACTATGGATGGAAATCACTACAGACTGTGAATCAAAATAAGCCTCTCCTGCTTTAACTTGTGAGTGTCAGGTATTTTGTTTGAGCAATGAGAAAGTAACTAACATAGATTTTTTTTTTTTTTCCCAGTACTGGGAATCGAACTCACGGCTTCCAGCTAAGATAGATTTTGGTATCAGAAGTGAGACTATTGCTGTGATGCTACCTGATCACATGGTTCAGAAGCCTTTGGACCTGGCTTGTGGAAGTAGTGTGGAAATATTTGGAGATAACAGCTGGAGAAGCAGCCCTAGAATTCTGTGAGCTGAGCTTGATGGAAGATTCTGGTTGTAGTTCAGATGACCATAGTATTGACTGCAAAGCATACGTAAAAGACGAGGCTCAAGATATTTCAGTTGGGAAGGACTCCACTGGCAGTTGGATTCTAGGCCACATGTGCTATTCTCTGGCAGGAAATTTGTCTGCATTTTGCTTATGTTCAAAGACCCTGTGTAAGACTGAGGTCAGGGGTGGCAGACTAAATATTCTTATGGAAGAAATTTCAAGACAGTCTGTTGTTGAGGTGGTGGCATGGCTACTGTTTGGGACTTTTAGCCAGTTCTACCTTGGGAATCAGGAGCAAATGGCCCAACTGAATGATTTAAAAGGTTTTAAGTTTGGCCAGAAATGTAATATCAGATTAAATAACCCATCATCATTGCAGGCTGATCAAGCCCACAATCTCCCAAGCGAAGTGGAGGGCCAAGGCTTAAATAAATGAGACAAGTGAAATGATTTCAGGTCTCCAGGAGGGTCTAACTCTCTTAAAGCTTGGATATTCTCTGGGTTTAGACAAAGACTTCCCTGGGCATCCAGTATTTATCTGGTTTTCAAACAAAGGAGGGGGACACTGAAGAAAATGCAGGAATCAGGGAAGGACTTGGGAATCCCTTTAAGGACCTCTCCAAGTAATACATTATGTTAATTTAGGAGAATTATGTTATCTCCAGGAAGGCCTTCACAGCAGGAGTCAGATACCTGCAGCTATAGTCTCCTTTAAGTTAACTGCAGTTGGAGCCCAACATCCTCTGCTGTGGGCTTGTCTTGTCCTTTGAGGTGTCACAGCTTCACAGGCCAGTACAGGCCTCAGGTAACTAGTGAGTCATGGAGGTTTACTTACTATGAATCCACTTCCCATCTCCAGGCAAGGTGCCTAACCTTCAGACAACTCACAAGTAAACATGGAAAGCCAATTGGTTAATATTAAATCCTGCTCAGAGCCACTTTATAGAGGTCTCCATGGAAACTCCAATAAAGTTAGGGATTGTAAAGATGGAGCAGAAGAGAGCTTGTTTGCTGAAAATATTTGCATTAAAAAGAAGTTAAGTACTTTGGAAGAGGACAATAGAAAAGATGGCCTGAAGCTATCACAGGAATCAGCAGGACCCCAACCTTCCAGCGTTCAAAATTACAAAGCAATGTCTTCCACCTTTGCAATATAGAGCCTCAGAAAGACATAGTTTAGCTAGGAATGGTGGTGTCTGCCTGTATCTCAGCACTCAGAAAGTCTGAGGCTATAGAATTACATTAAAAATGCTTCTTTTTATGTTTTTCTTTTATTTTTTTTTTAAATCAAGAATGTTTGTAGTCCTGGGATGTAGATGTCTTAATAATTGACTTGCATTTCTTTCTTTCCCAGGGAAATAGTCTCCCAGGAGGTAAGGGAAACTTCAATGCTACAGTTATTTGAAAGTGCTGCACTTTTCACAAAATCCACAGCCTTTATAAAGAACTAAGGCTGATATTTTGTCAGATCACCAAGATTTCACATGGCTCAGGGCCCTACTCACTTATCCATGGCAAATTAACTCTCTTTCCTTAAAGCATAGAAGCATAAAGGAACACAGGGGAGAGACTATCCTGCTGTTTGATTCTACAGGTTCACTTTGCATAACTATAGAATATAGTTCCAGGAATTATTTTAGTCTTTCAGACAATCTTGTATAATATTCACATTTCTCTTTTGAAAAAGATTATAGAATTTTTCAATAAATTAACTACTAAAGAAAGGACAGTTTTTAAATAGAGTAATAAGGGATAGAGGTCACATTTCTCTATAGAGAATCTAAAAGTGGGATAATGAGTGTGCATTTGATGGAGGGAGTTTATTTGATCTCAGAGTAGTTTTTTCAGTACTTGTAGTTCTGAGTTATTAATTAACTTTATGTTTACTCTTTCTAGAATTGAAACAAGACAAGATAAAAACATTAGAACTCCATTGCTTTGTTTTTAACAGAATCTGAAAAACTAACAAACATCATAAGGTAAAAGTAACCTTTAAAACTATGAGATTTTTATCAATCAATTTTTGTTGCATATTTTGGGAAGAATTCTCTTTTCCATGTATAATGTCTTCACTTGTAAATTTGTTCTGATATAATATTTATGATATTAACTTTTATTCTGATCCTACATGCTCATTATCATTCAACTTTTATGTATGTAATAAATTTATACTGTTTAATTGCCACTTACCAGACTCATAACATTATGTTGATAATAAATATGCAGAGAACAAGTGGGTTTGATTTTAATGAAGTTATTGTCAGGTGAGAAACAATGAATGTTTAATATTCATATTTTTATATGGTATTAGAATGAATTTGATTAGGATAAATCTTGAAAATTTAAATAATTTGTCTTTAATCAAGATTTAATCAAGATAAATAAAGTATATCATTTAAAAAAATAATATTTTATGGTCCCTTCAAGCTCTCTTTCACTACTCAGAAGTTTCACACATTCTTGGATCCTAAAGTATAATCTTATTTAAATATTGCTTTTTTATAATATGAGCCAACATACTTAAATTTTGATGGAGGTGGTGAATATTTTATTCTCCACATTTATTGCTGTCTTGAATGATGATAATAGATCATGCAATGTTTTTCTAGTTTTCTTTTTTCTCAGTTCAATACTACATCTCTTGAAAGTCTCTTCATTGTATTTAAATTTTTAAAAGTTTCTCTGATTCATTCCACCTTAGAATCATTTATTCTGAATGTCCTATATACATAGTATTAATTTTCAGCCTAAGCAGTACTGATAGTTTTGTGTAAATTATTGGATGGCACACTACAATATATAATAAAATAACTGTGGTTAGCATTTATTGACTACTTTGCCGTAAATGTTGTCAAGTGATTTATTTTCTTATGTCATCTTATGTTTATTCATGAGAAAAATTTGAGGGTTATTTTGTTTTCATGCCCCCTTTGTACATAGGGAGATGATGACAGAAATATATGGAATTTGTCCAGTGTCCCATTTAGAAAGTAATGGTTCAATAGTATTCAGTTCATCTTATTAAAGTGTGTGTTACAGCTCATTAAAGTGTGAGCTACTGAAACCATTAGAAAAGTACCCAGCATATTTGAAAGCCACATAAATGCTTGCTATGATTATTATTATCCTTGCAGAAACATTCACATTCTGAAAGGAAAGATAGAATATATCATATTCTCATAGAAGTTTAAAATATAGATGAGCTAATAAAGGAATTAATGGCAGTTATGAAGGTATACTCAAGGTAAATAACAATATAATTAACATTTATTTCATGCACATACTGAGTTTCCAAAGCAGCTCTTCTATAGACCCCTTAAGTAAATATAAAGCATGGCATTGGAAACAAGGCAAACTTTATGGAATGGTGTTGATGGTCCATCCAGGAGAGAAATACTGGGATATGAGATTCATTTTTGTCGTTGGTTGTGCACACATTTTATTTTAGTAGGTATGAAATTTACATTACAGTTCAGTTTCCATGATGCACAAAAAGCAACTGAACATCTTAAGTAATTCAAAAATTCCAGTATTTTCTTTAAATCTGTTGGTATCTAAATTAAATCTCCAAGTTTTCCTAAAGTTGACTACAAGAGATCTTAGTATACCCAAATTCCAAGTACAAAAACTATTCCTGGATTCAATTATCTGTCCTCTTTTCCAATCATTGCTTCGTGACGGTGAAGCTACTGTGTACATAACAGGGAGAGTATGTAGTAAGTGCTATTGGCAAATATAAAAAGTATTTTGGTATAAAAGTAGTGCATCAGATACACAGAAAACACACCAAATTCTATCACTTTTGGAAATTATGAAATAAAAATGATGTTTTGGTACAGTATCAGTCATTTGAAATTTTTAAGTAACAAAATCACTATTAAGCTAAAATTAACAGTGACTACAGGATAGCCTTGTAAATACAAATACTTAGAGATTATCTGTAATGCTGGAACCAGTGCTAAAAGTCCACGTGTTTATTTTGCCTTGTGCCTCTCATCAGGTCTCTTCCATGGGTGACAGGGGAACAAGCAATCACTCAGAAACGACTGACTTCATTCTTGTAGGCTTCAGGGTCCGCCCTGAACTCCCTATTTTTATTTTCCTGATATTTTTACTTATCTATGCCGTGATCATTTTAGGCAATGTTGGGATGATGACCATTATTACAACGGATCCCCAGCTGAACACACCGATGTACTTCTTCCTAGGCAACCTCTCCTTTATTGATCTCTTTTATTCATCTGTTATTGCACCCAAAGCGATGAGCACCTTCTGGTCTGAGAGCAAGTCCATCTCCTTTGCAGGCTGTGTGGCGCAGCTCTTTCTCTTCGCGCTCTTCATTGTGACTGAGGGATTTCTCTTGGCGGCCATGGCCTATGACCGCTTCATCGCCATCTGTAACCCACTCCTCTATTCTGTTCAGATGTCAACGCGGCTCTGCACTCAGCTGGTGGCTGGGTCCTATTTTGGTGGCTGCATCAGCTCAGTTCTTCAGTCCAGCATGACATTTACTTTATCTTTTTGTGCTTCTCGGACTGTTGACCACTTCTACTGTGATAGTCGCCCTACAAAGACTATCGTGTTCTGACATTTTTATCCAAAAAATAGTATCTTTCTCCTTATCCAGCATCATTATCTTGCCTACTATCATAGTCATTATAATTTCATACATATACATTGTGTCCACAGTTCTAAAGATGCGCTCCGCGGAGGGACGCAAAAAAGCCTTCTCCACTTGCAGCTCTCACCTGGGAGTTGTGAGTGTGCTGTATGGCGCTGTCTTTTTTATGTATCTCACCCCAGACAGATATCCTGAACTCAGCAAAGTGGCCTCCTTATGTTATTCCCTAGTCACACCTATGTTAAACCCTTTGATTTATTCTCTGAGAAACAAGGATGTCAAAGAGGCTCTGAAAAAACTGCTAGAGAAGAAACATACTATTCTCTATTAATTATCTTCCACCCCTTGACTGTGGCTATTTATTTTGTTCCTCTTGTGGCATTTTTAGCTTTTTCCATGTGAGTTACCTCTCCCAAATACCACTTCTTTCCTCTCTGAGATACTGATCCTGAATTTCCTGGATTAATGGCACTGTATATGGGAGATGCCCAGAAAGCATTTTTAGTGATGACATCTCCCACTGATCTCCAGCAACATTTTATTTTCACAGAATCAGTATGTATGCTTCAGTCTTGAAAAATGTTTTATATTTTAATATACTGTTTAAACAATTCTTTATCAAGTGCCAGTCTTTAGCATTGCCCTTCCCTCCTACACACAATCATGGATCATTGACAAAGACGTCCAGATGATTTTAAAATGAAGTATTTTTTCTTATTTTATTTGCATTAGTATGTTAAAAGGTTATTATATTTCAGCTTGAACAGATATTTTCCATGTGTTACACAAAAAAAAATAACAAGAATAAAACAGCAATAAGCCACCCTATGCACATTAATTTGGAAATTTGTATACTCAGCATCCAGGGACTGAGCAGTGCTCAGAGATCCTACCAGGTACTGGATCTTATTCAAAGCAGTAAGGTGGGAGTTAGGAAACTGCAAATATTTTGGAGTGCTCATTCCCTCGATCTGTATCTTTGTCATCTTCATCTTATCTTAACTATTACTGGGGGAATATTTAATAAAGAAATAGGAGCAAAGAATTCATGAAATTGAGAGCAATCCAAAATTTACTCCTCTATGCCTCTGTGTATAATTATTTCAATATTTTTATTAAATACCTGTGTAAACATCCCGGTTACTGGTGAGCTGAGGGACAAATGACTTTTTCCTTTGGAAGTTTACAATTTTATTAGAAAATCAGCTTTTTGGATAACTAAAACTCAGAAGGTTGTGCCAAAGATAGTCTTAGAGATAATAATCTGGGGTGCTTGAAAGCAGTTGATGGGTAGTTTGGGAAACTTTTCTTGGGCTAAATAATTTGGAACATACATTTAAAGGGAATAAAGTTGTAGTAAAGGAAATTGTTGTAGTAGTTCATGTTATTTACATGGGCTTACTTGTAAAATATACCATGTCAATCAGAGAAGACACTTATGATCAATGTAGATAGTAGATACATACAGAACAAACTAAGCACATGCTAAGAAAAGACTGTACCAAAGGACATATGTCTTCTAAATTTTGTACTTAAAAGACTGTAACAATGGTATGAACAGATGAAAAGTAAATAAGCTCTGAGAAAACTAATATAAGCTGACCTCCTCAACTTAATAAAGAGCATGTATAAAAAATCTACATTGAACAACATCCTTAATAGAGAGAAACTAAAAGCTTTTCCTGCTACCATTAGGAATAAGGCAAGAAAATAAGGAGCTAATACAAATAAGAAGTAAGGAAAAAAAATAATAAATTATATCACTTAACATCTTGTATGTAGAAACCATTACCTCAGTACTTCAGAAAGTGACCGTATTGGAAGAGATAGCATCTGCAAAGACATGATTGAGTGAACAAGAAGACCATGTTTGGGCTTGGATTCAACATAAGTATTTTATCAAATAAGTGTATAGCATTTGTAAACAAAGGAGGCTAGGATACACAGAGAAGCACAGGGTGTATGTGCACAGAGATGAACATTTGGTACGGCAGCAATAGGGCAACCAACTATCAACCAAGAAGTGAAATGTCATAGGAAATCCGCTGTAATAGGTAACCTTGCCCTGGCTTGCCAGCCTCCATAATTGTAAGAAAATAAATTTCTGTTGGTAAAGTATTTTGTAATTTCTGTTCGCAAAGTATTTTGTAATGGCATCCACAAAGCTTGTACAACTAGGTAAATAAACTGAGGCAAAAGACATAAAACTATCCATATTTGTGTATGACATGCTTGTATGTGCAGAAAATCCAAAAGAATCGTTATCACCAACAAAAACACCCTAAAACTGAAAATTGCCTAAGATTACTGGATATGAAGTTAATGTAGAAGTCAATTTCTTTTCTATGTACCAGCAATGAACCAGTGGAATTTGAAATTCCAGTCAGATGACCCTAGCAAGATGGTGAAATAGAAAGTTCTAGTGCCAGTTCCTTTACAGAAACCCAAGTTTAACAACAATAATATGTGGAGTAAAATCCTTATGAAAACTCCAGAATTAAATTAAAAAGTTGGCAGTGACTCAAGGTTACATAAAGCCAAGGGCAGCTGCATTGAATTGAATAAGATGGACAAGTTCATTTCACCCATGTGATGTATTCCTGGCCCAGCTCAGGCTGGCTGGCTCCGCTCAGCTCCCAAATGTTTCCCTAGCTCATGACTTTGCCCTGTGGTAGTGGGTTGAATCATAATATAGGAGACAACATCCAAAGTGGTGACTTTAAATGAGCTACATAAGCTGATTTTTGTCACGCTCTTTCTGAAATGCTGATGAATTCAAAATATTTTGGATATTTGGGGGCTGCTAAGAATATAAAATCAAGGAATAGGGGTGCTTGCAAAAGTCAGCATGACTGAGCACAGACGGACATCTTGAGCTCTTCTTCTAGAAGGACAGACAAGAAATAGAGCATGTGTCCAACATTTTGGTTTTTTGAAAGAGTTCTTAAGGGAGAGGTGTCGCCTTAATCAGGGGAGAAGCATATTTTGTCCAGTGATTGCTGAGATGGAGATAGAAGAAAGAAGCTTGCTCTAACTGGAGGTCTTGTATTATTTTAGGCAGACACACATAGAACAAGGGATTATAAGTGCTTGTTAAAGATCTAGAAAGCCTCTGAGAAATTGTGTGTGCAGGCCATGCACAGGTCATGTTCTACCCAAAAAGTTTCAGATGCCTTCTTGAATCTATAGATGGTCTATAGACTCTTCATGAGAGTCATTCGCTCTACAATGCCAGTCTATTAAGACAGGGGAGTGCATGTATTCCAATACAAAATTATAAGGCTCACAACACAGCAGGGAACTAAGGCAAAACCATAGAAAAAATAAATCTCCTGAAATGTGAAAGAACATTTCAGATATGCAAAATATAAAAAGATTAAATAGGAATTTTGGAACTGTAGAATATAATAACTGAAGTAAAAAAATCAATAGAGGAGTTCAAGAGCTGATTTTGTCAGGTAAAAGAAAGACTAAGTAAACTTTGAGACAGGTCATTTGAAATTATCCCATAAGAAGAACCAAAGAGCAAAAGAATGCAAAACTTTGAAAATGCCTGAAAGACTTATGGAATGTTATCAACTAGAAGAATACATGTATTATTGAGGTTTAGTCAGAAAAATAGAGTAACAAAGGAGGAGAGAGTTTGTTTAAATAATGACTGAAAATGTCATAATTTAGAGGAAATGAATGGACATTTCTTTTCAAACACCCAATGGATTTCAAGTAGACTTATTCCTAAGCAATGCATACTAAGAGAAATATAATCAAATTTTCAAAATTTGAAGACATTAAGCATTTTGAAAGCAGTAGGAATAAAGTAAGTCATTACATATGAGAAACTATCACTGAATTTCACATCAGAAACTTTACCGGCTAGGAGGGAGTAAGAGGGTATAGTCAAAGTGCTGAAAGGAAAAAACATACAAAGGATTCTATGCTTGGAAAACTCTTCTTCATAAAATGAAAGAGAAACAAAGTATTTCCAAGATGAACAAAAGCTGAAAGAGTTCATCATCACTAGATTTGCCTTACAAAAATTCTAAAGGGAGCCCTTTAAATTGAAATCAAAGGACATTAAACAGCAATACAGAAGCATATGACAGTAGAAAGCTCTGAGGTAAAGGTGAATATATAGATAATATATAATATTGTAACACTTTAACAATGGTACAAAAATAACTTCCTGTTCTGGTACAGAAGTTAAAAACCAAAAGCATAAAATATCTCCACAGTAAAATGTGTCAATGGATACATAATATAAAAAAAGATGTTAGTTGTAAAATCAATAACATAATATGTGTATGTGATGGGGAGTAAAAACAGAGGATTTCCATGTAATTAAAGTTACCAGCTAAAACTAGATTATTGTGACTATCAGACCTAGATTCTGTTGCAACCACAAAGAAAATAAGTATAGAAGACAAAAAGTGAGAAAAAGAAATATCAGTTTAGAAAACTCAATAAAACACAGAACACAGCAAAAGAGACCAGGACAAAATTACTACAAGGCAGAAAACAACAACATGAAATAGCTAAGTCTTTTCCTATCAGTAATTATGTCAAAGTTAAAAATGATTAAACTACTAAATGAAAAGAGACAGAGTAGCTTTATAAAGTTAAAAAAATAGCCAAAGAAGTAAATTAGTGCAATTAATATCACACTATTTGCTGTTTGCAAGACACTTGTTTTAGATTTAAGGACACACATGAGCTGAAAGTGAAAGGCTTGAAAAAAGATATTTTATGTAAATGGTATAGAAAAGACATCAGGGCTGGCTGTACACAGGCGAAATGGATATTAAGTAAAAGGCTATCACATCCTGCATGTGCATAAAAGGTCTAGTTCACTAAGAAGATAACACCATTATAAAGTATAAGCACTTAACACCAGAGCATATAAATATATGAGACGAACATTGACAAAACTGAAGGAAGAAACAACAGCAAAACAAAAATAGGAAACTCAGTATCTTACTTTCAATCATAGTATGAAACTCCAAGCACAAGATCAATATTGAACTAAAGCCTGGAAATGCACTGTTGACCCAACATACCTAACCGATAATTGCAGAATGTTTCATCCTCAAACAGCATATCATCATCTCCAGCACTCACAAATATTTGCTGAGATCAATTACATGTTAAATCAAAATAAGTCGATAAATTTGAGAGGATGGAAACCATACCAAGCCTATTTTCTCAGTACAATACAATGAAATAAAAATGAATGATGCTAGAATTCACGAAAACAAAAAGTTAACATATTTTGAAAAACAAATACATTAAATAAAAATGGATAGAGAAGTTAGAAAATACCCTGAGATAAAGCTA